AGGAGGTGGGACCAGGTGAGGTGGCAGCCTGCTCAGCCAGCATCACAGCTTTCTGGGTCCAGGCTGAGAGACAGGGGCAGAGCTGGGACCCAGTACACATCTAGATGTGTATAAGAGACAGCTATCATGGAATCTATCATGGAATCTATGTATCTGCAGATACAACATGAAATGGGAACAAAACTTCACATACAAAACAGTGGCATTGTTTCTAATGGTGGACGAATGGGAAAGAAACTGCCCAACAGGAAGGAAACAAGTAAGCTATGGTAGAAACCAATGCAGCCATTAAATTAGCTGGGCATGGTGGCGGGCGCCTATAATCCCAGCTACTCAGGAGGCTAAGGCAGGAGAATTGCTTGAACCCAGGAGGTGGAGCTTGCAGTGAGCCAAGATAGCGCCACTTCACTCCAGCCTGGGCAAAAGAGCGAAACTCCATTTAAAAAAAAAAAAAAAAAAGAAGTTTAATGAAGATTCTAATAATATGGAAAAGAATAATGTATACTAAAAATAGGATTATTTAAAATTGCATATACTGTATCATTTAAACCATGAAACAGAAAAAAATATTCATAGAAGAGAGTCAGAAAGAAAATGTACCTATGCATTAGTTCTAGTGATTTCTGGGTGGTGTGATACGGATTTTTTAAAAAGTATACTTCCTTATACTTTTTGGTACTTTAAAGATTTTTCATCAGGAATATGTACAATTAAAAAAAAAATCAGGGCCGGGCACGTGGCTCACGCCTGTAATCCCAGCACTTTGGGAGGCTGAGGTGGGCAGATCATGAGGTCAGGATATCGAGACCATCATGGCTAACACGGTGAAACCTTGTCTCTACTAAAACTACAAAAAATTAGCCAGGGATGGTGGCGGACACCTGTAGTCCCAGCTACTTGGAAGACTGAGGTCGGAGAACGGTGTGAACCCAGGAGGTGGAGCTTGCAGTGAGCTGACATCAAGCCACTGCACTCCTGCCTTTGTGACGGAGTGAAACACCAATTCAAAAAAAAAAAAAAAAAAAAAAATCAGAAAAAAAGTTACTAAAAACCAACTCTGTGTGTATCTTTTAAGGTTTTATAATATCTATTTTTTTAAAAAAATTATCAAACACTGTAAATGAAGATGTTATTACATAAAATGTTTTACAAAGCATAAAGGTTATTCTTTTAAAATTCCTTTTCATCGAAGAAGGATTTGGGGCAGTCTATAGAGAAGATGCCTCACTCTGTACGTGATGGAGGGGATTCTAAGGATGTCATTAGGGAAAAGAAGACACAGCACCCCCATGGGAGTGATTAGGGATCACTGGCTCCAGCTATGGCTCAGCCCCAAAGCTCTGCTGACCACAGGCAAGTCACTCTCCAGCTCTGACTCTGAAAGTCTCCGTTTGTTACTTCACTCCATGGATCTGAGGCTCCCAGGCCCCTGGTGACCCACTATTCCGCATAGGATCAGCAGTGGGCAGACCCACTCCATGTTGCATTCTAGCCAGGAAATCTGGAGTGGGTCAAATACTCAGCAGAGAGTTGTGTTCCAGCCAGACTTGATCTAGGGCCTCAGCTCCCCTCCACTGAGCTGGGGAGGCCCCAACCTGCCCACTGTCAAAATCTGGGATTGGGAAGGCCTTTAAAGGACACAGGCTCAGAGGCCTGGACTCAGGGATGCAGCAACTCAAGGGTGAGAGTTGAGACCTCCATCCTAGTCCTGCACTGCGTGGCCCTGGGTAAACCTCTCTGTCTCCTGCCACTGACATCCCACAACCCCACATACCTTGCCAAGCTGCAGGAGTTCCCAGTGGTGGTTGACAAAGGCCAGAATCTCCTCAAAGTCAAAGTACTTCTTCTTGCTCTGTACCCCCAGATTATAGAGGGCCAGGTGAACCACATCCACCCTGGGCAAGGGGGCAAGGAGGTGGGACCAGGTGAGGTGGCAGCCTGCTCAGCCAGCATCACAGCTTTCTGGGTCCAGGCTGAGAGACAGGGGCAGAGCTGGGACCCAGTAGCTGGAAATGGAATCGTTCCAGGAGGGAGGAGGGAGGGGAGAAGCTGGAAGGAGCAGCGGTCGGTTTGGACTAAGCCCCACCCTCTCACCATCGCAGGGGCAGCCTCTCGATGTACTCTGGGCCCTGGTTACACACGGAACAGAAGAACAGGTAAAACCTGTGGGTGGGCAGAGAGGGGGGCCTATGGTGGGAGGGACTCGGACACCCCCCCAGTCCAGCCCCCTGATCTCCTCACTCGCCACCTGCCTTCCCATAATCTTCTCACTCCCAGGGCTGCTGGCCACTGGGGGGCAAGGACAGAGCAGGACAGGGACTAAGAGATATCCCATATTCCTTCTAGCCCCTGCCCTCAATCCCCTCCCCAATTCTTGCCCTGAAGCGTGGCTGAGTTCAGAGAGAGTGAGCTGAGCTAGGGCTGCCATGGTCACCCTCTTCCCCTCAGAGACAGACACACACGCAATCACAAATGACATGAGACACCAACCAAAAGATGCATAACGTCAGGTTTGACATCCATAATGACTCCATTAGCTTAGCTCCATCAGCTAGAAGCCATGTTAAGTCGTCCATTTCCCCAGCGGCTTCCGTAACAACCCTGGGCAGGGCTGGCGCAAAGACTGTGTCACCCCTTCTTCCCCAGACACTTAAGAGACTAGGGCATAGGGAAGGCAGGCATTTATCTAAGGTACGCCACAAATCAATGGCAACTAGGGATGTGGCCCAGAATACTTCTTTATTGCCTCCTGGCCCTGCATAGCTGGGAGATCCCCTACCTTGAGCTGCCTCCATTAAAGAGGTAGGCATACATTGTCACAGACCCCCTCTTGTCTGGAGCCTGGCAGTCACCCTGCAGGAGTTGTTGCTGCCATCCCTGCCCCCTCCCTACCACGCCCAAAGCCCAGTTGGACCGAATTAGCACCTACCGGTCTCCAAACATCATGGGCTCATTGAGGCACTGGGTGCAGGCCTCGTGGAACCACTGTCTACACCGGTAACATTGCAGCATCCGCAGGTACCATCTGGAGAGACAGAGGAGCCAAGGTCAGCCAGAACCACACCCCCAGTCAGGTATGAGCTTTGGCAACCTTTCCCAACTTAAATTTGCCCTCTACTGGCAGAAAGGGAAGATAATTCATAGTTACTGAGCACTTAGGCTGTGCCAAGGGAGGACCTGGGAGTTGGACATATACTCTTATTTGACCTCACAACCTGGTAAAAGATGGGACACTGTCTCCCTATTACACATGAGTCACAGGTGAAATGGCTTGCTCTAGCTCACTCAGAAGGCAAGTGGAGGATGATGACTCAAATTCTAGTCTCCCTAACATCAAAGGCTGTGCTCTCCTTGCCATGCCACAATGAAGCCACCATTTCTGGACTTGCTGCTTCCTAAACACTGCTGACAGGGAAACGTTTGCCTTGGAGACTACACAGGAGAATAATGGTTTCTGTCAGCTGCACGGGGGCGAGACTACATCTGGCTTTTCTCACCTGCAACTGTATCTGCTCTATCATGGTCATCCAATAACTATTCATGGAATATGAAGAGCAAAATACTCAATGCTTCATTGACACCTTGTCAGGTGAGCTCCAGGTTAAAATGCAGATTCCTTGGTCCACTGCAGACCTATTCAATCTTTGGAGAAGCCTCTGGGATGCATTTTTAATCAGCATCCTGTGCAACCCTGCCCATAGGTGTTGAGAAGCACTGCATTAATGCAAGAAAGGTTTCCATAAGCATTTCTCCATCTGACAATACTTGGGGAAGTTCATAGGCCTGAAGTTAAGGTTAAGCCCATTTGAGAGATGAATAGTTCAAGCATTGCCCAAGTTACCCCGCTGGAGCTTGGGGCTGAGATTCAGGACTTCAGAGGGTCCTGAAGGCTGAACTTCCTGAGGCCAGAGACGCTACCTCTTACATCTATGGTTCCTTCCACAATGCCAAGTGCACTCAGTCCAAGGGAGCAAGCTCAGCTGCTATGGCTACATAGGGACCCAGGTCGGCAAGGAAGCATCAAAGACTCTTGCCGCAGAGCCAGCACAAGAATTCCCTCCACAGTGGCCCCGACATAACATGCCCCGCTCCCCCGTCCCCTACCCCTGCCTGACTGCACATCTCCAGGGAAACCAATCTTTCCTATTTTTGGAGACAGGGTTGTCTTGCTTTGTCACCCAGACTGGAGTACAGTGGCATGATCATGGCTCACTGCAGCCTCCATCTCTCAGGCTCAAGTGATCCTCCCACTTCAGCCTCCTGAGAAGTTGGGACTACAGACACGTGCCACCGCACCAGGCAGGAAAAGGATCTTAACATCTTACCAGCAGCCGGTTCCACTGACTCTGACAGTGAAAAGGTTATCTTGACTTTCATGCATTAGTACCACCACTACCACCAGTAACAGCTCACATTTTTTCCAGTGTTTACCAAGTGCCAGACACTATGTGAACCTCTATGTGAATTATGTAATTCACGCTCTGCTCATAATCACCACATGATGGGGAAACTATTCAGAGAGCTGAGGCTCAGGGGTTGCACAGCTGGTAAGGAGCAGGGCCAGGACGTGGACGTCCAGGGAGGATTCGCACTGTGTCCGACCCAGGCTCTTAACCACACTTCAATACTTCCTCGTTTCCTACAGAGCTCCAAGGAAACACCTCTGCCCTCTAGTCCTGCTCCACAGTGCTAAATGCCACGCGGAGCCCGGCCCTCGGTTCTCCCCTTCAGGTCCCGCCCCCTCGGGCCCCACCCCGAGGCCTCCCCTTCGGGAGCCGCCCCTTGAGGCCTCGCCTCCTCAGGTCCTGTCGCCGAGGCCTTACTATTCCCTCCTCCCCACCCCGCCCCTCCACAGGCTGCTTCTCAACCAGCCCCAACTCCCTGGCATCCTGCTTGGGCTGTCGTAACCCGCCAGGTCCGCCTCCCGAGACCTCGCCCCAAGGTCTAACCTTCCGGGCCCGCCCCTCGAGGCCCCGCCCCCAGGTCTAACCTGCGGAGTTCACTTCCCGAGGTCCCGCCCTCAGGGCCAATCTTCCGGGCCCACCCCTCGAGGCCCCGCCTCCGTAGCGGCTGACACCCCAGTCCCGCCCCCTGGGTCCCACACCCCCGGCTGACACTCCAGGCCCGCCCCTCGAGGCCCTGCCCCCACAGCACAGCACGCTGGGCCCGCCCT